TGTGTTTTGAGCCCCTCTGGTTCTAGGATTTTCCCATCTTTGGTACTGGATGGGGTTGCACTGCCCCAGACAGACTCTGTGTGCAATCTGGGGGTCCTCCTGGACTCACTACTCCTGCTCGAAGAGCAGGTGGCAGTCGTGGCTAGGAGGGCTTTTGCACAACTTCGTATTGTGTACCAGTTGCGCCCATTCCTAGATCAGAGGGACCTACTCACAGTCACTCATGCTCTGGTCACCTCCCAGTTAGACTGCTGCAATGTGCTGTACGTGGGGCTGCCCTTGAAGAGTATCCAGAAACTTTAGCTGGTGCAAAATGTAGCGGTGTGAGTAATTATGTGTGTTTCTAATAGAACACATGTTACACCTCTGCTTCATGAGCTACATTGGTTACCAGTTTGTTTCTGGGTCCAATTCAAGGTGCTGGTGTTGACCTATAAAGCCTGTCATGGCATGGGGCCAGGCTGTCTGAGGGACCGCCTCTTCCTGATTTCATCTGCCCATCCTACCAGATCCAGCAAAGAGGGCATGCTATGGGTTCCATCACCTAGGGAGATACATTTGGTAGGCCCCAGGCAGCGGGCCTTTTCTGCTGTGGCACCTGTGCTGTGGAATTTTCTCCCGTCTGAAGGGAGGCTGGCCTCATCATTGTTGACCTTCCGGAGGTCCCTTGAGACTTGGTTATGCCAGCAGGCCTGGGGACTCCAGGGGACAAGGAATTAGTGAGATGGCTCCCTTATTTTAAACTTCCTTTTGTTCTCTGTTTTATTTTGTTTTATATATTTTTAATGTATTTTACTGTTTTTAGCTTTGATGTACGCCATCCAGAGTTGCCTGTGGTGAGATGGGCAGCTACATAAATTGATTAAATAAATAAATAAATAATGCAAGAACTGCTAAAGTACAACAAATGACCACGCAAAGGTGGCTGGTATACCAGCCAGCATGGTGGGTGACTGGCATACTGGCTGATTATAGTTTGCTGCGTTAGCTGATATAGCACCCGATTTACCTACAGCTGCATGAATGAATCAGAATGAGGGTTTGGTCTGGCACATTGTATACTCACTGAAATCATAGGATTGGAAGGGACCTTAGAGGAAGGTCCCAATGCAGGAATTTTTGGACCATCCCAGACAAATGGCTATCCAATCTTTTCTTGAAAACTTCCAGTGATGGAACACCTGTATCTTTGAGGCAGGCTGTTCCATTGCTTAATAGCTCTCACAGTCAGGAAATTCCTCCTTGTTTCAAGTTTGGATATCTCACTGTAAAGCTTCCACCCATTGGTTCTTATCTTAGGTGCTTTGAAGAATAAATCCACACCCTCTTCCCTGTGTCATCCCTTCATGTATTGGAAGACTGCTGTCATATTTCCCATTGGCCTTCTGTTCTTTAGGCTAAACATACCAAGTTCCTTTAACCACTTTTCATAGGATTTAGCTTCCAAGCTCCTTATTATCTTTGTTGCTTTTCTTTGCACTCTCCAGTTTCTCAGCATCCTTTTTGTATTTTGTCAACCAGAACTGAACACAGTATTCCAGATGTGGTCTGACCAGCACAGCATAGAGTAGTACTATCACTTCCTTTGATCTTGTCATTATACCTCTATTGATGCAGCCTAAAACTGCATTGGCTCTTTTGGCAACTGCAGCACACTGCTGGCTCATGCTAAGATGAGAAAAATGCATTGGGGGGTGTAGGTGATTGCAGGAAGAAAGTTAGTTGAATTCTTATCGTCCCCCTTTATTCTAAAATCACCCCATATTGCATTTCATGGAGTAGTTCCCTGTTTAAAAGAAGATTGTAATTGGGATCTGCCCCATCACCCACTAAGTGGGCTAATTAAAAAAAAAAGAATGTTAAGGAGAAATCAACTTTTTTCCTGCCAATCACCTACCTTCTCTCTCTCCCCTCCCCCTCTTTTTTCCCCCTCCCATCTGATTTCAGAGTTAGATTCCAGCTGGGAAGGAAAGCTCCTTGGAAAACAAACTGGGTAAGTGAGCCATGTGTGAGAGAGGGCTAGAATTTACTCACCATGTGCCACTATGAATTTGACCCACTGCTAAATATGTAATTGTACATAATTGTTTAAATCTGGTTACTCTAAGTAGGCTTGCTGCCATTCTATCTATATTGTAGAAGATCCTGAAAAGCCTCATTCTGATTGTCCATTTCAGGAACAGTTTATTAATCAAGCAAGGATGGGATTCAAACAAAACATTAATCCATAATGTGGTTTGCTTGTTTGTAGTTTAAAGTATGAAACTAGCAATTGGCATTTCTAAACTAAGGTCTGCCTTTAATGGTTATATCAAGAAAAAAAACCTGCTGAGCTCCCCACAAAATGTCAGGGTTTTATCAGTGCACTTAG